ATGGAGGATGGAGCCATGAGCTAGGAGCACAGGCAGCTTCTAGAAGCTGGAAAAGACAAGGCAAAGAATTCACCCCTGGAGCCTCTGGAAGGAACAAAGCCCTGCCTGCTGACACCTCGATTTTAGCCCAGTGAAACCCATTTTGGGCTTCTGACCTCCAGAACTGGCAGTGAATAAATGTGTGTTATTTTAACCCACTAAGTTTGTGGTGATTTGTTACAGCAGTGCTAGGATGCAGTGCAGATACAGACTTATTTGTGATCCTTAATGTCATGTTCTGTGTAGACATGTGCCCTGGGGATGACCACGATTCACATACCTCTTGTACACAGCTATGGTACAAGACTCCTTTCCAGAATTCGACTTTGCTGGCTAGAGACATGCTGAACAACCCTAACAAGTGGCCCAGAGACTTGTTATGGCTGCTATCCCCTAGCCATGGTGGGACTGTCTCTGTAACATACTCTTCAATGGAGGCACCATCACAAAGGCAAATAAATGCCAAGGCTGTAAAGTATTGATACATTGCTGATTGGTGATTCATTGCTTAACAGAAAGTGAGATCAAGGGTCAGGTTGGATATCGGGGGAGAGAGAGAGAGCATTTAACATTCCATGCCTCATAATACATTCATTTTAGGGCTGATTATTATATTCAATCTCCAGCAGAACAACCCAGGTTCTTAAAGGAAGAGTTTGCAGAAGCCAGACTCCTCATGGGTAACAATCACGACACAGCACTGATGGTCTTGATTTGGGGCATTACTAATGCTCTGTGATTACATGCATCATTGCCTATGACTCCACATGTAGAAAACCAAGTGGAAAATGTTGTGGGATGGTGAAAAAAAAAAGTTTGTGGTTTAAAAATGATTTATTACAAGATGGTAAAAAACATTCCAACTTGCCAGCTCTTCTGGGTGCAGTAAGCTTGGGCGATTAGGACAAAGTTCCAAGGAGGCCAAAGTCAAAGTTTTAACCCCAAGGCCTGGTGACCTTTCCTGCCCCATGCTAGACCCAGACTATGCAATCAGAGCCTGCAGACCAAGGGGTGCTGTGGTGGGCGGCAGGGCAGAGACCGTGGTACACTGTGCTCTTTGAGCGTGAGCAGTGCCTGGGAAGCAGGGTTTGTGCCTTTTTGTTCTGTGCTTTCAGGAGTGTTATGTTTCATCCTCAGGGTAGTGTGAGGGTGCCAAAGAAGGCCTAGTTCTTGCAAATATCCCCTTCCCTGCTGTTCTTTCATGATGGCTATAAAAGCACTTACGAGCTTTCCTTACATGAAAATTAAGATTATTTCACTTTAGTATTGTATTCCTTATCTTCTCCCTCCATACTCATTGTGGCCTTTTTAATTCTCCAGTTTTTGTTTCTATGACCTATTTAATGTTTTGCTTTCCTATTCTCCTGAACGATCACCTCTGAATTATTGATATTAATGGAGAGAAGACTTCAAGAAGAGCAGTAATTAGAGGGATTATATTGTATTGAAGTGCTTTATCGATTGAAGAGTGATAAAGGAAGAAAGCTTTTCTCAGTAGAGTAAGTGCTCTCCTAACTGCTCTGTGGCCCAGCGGACAGGCTCTGTTTGTGCTGTCAGCCTCGCGGTAGCCTGACCCCGGAAGTGCACAGGCTCCTGCCTGGTGGCCTGCACTGGGGCTGGCCTGGTATTTACCCAAAGTCAGCTGATTTGCTTCCAGACTTTCTTACGATGGGTGTACTTAGTACTAATTACATAAATAAATGTTATGTAAACCAGAGAAGAGTGGGTACAAATGAAGACGTCATGTCCACAAAATCCAAGTTAAATGCTTTATAAAGCATTTATAAAGCATTATAAGAATTGATGAAGTCAAGTCTCCAAAACTTTTGCTGCTGAATTGGGTGTGGATGAGTTAAGATTGGGCAAAATAAAGAAAAAAAAAATAAAAATAAAAGCGGAGGATTATGCGCTGTATTCTTTGCAAGCGTTCACTCCACTGTAAGGAAACCAAAATGGAAATCACAAATGATCCCCTATGGGCGTGTTGTTTTTTTGCTAGAAAGACTGTAAGAAGCTCCAATTAAACAGCCTTGGCCCTATATCAAAATATAGGTGATAAGTTTACACTTATGCATTTTAATTTAAGTTGAAGTAATTAAGGTATGGGCATAACTCCACCGTGCCCCCTGCACTTCGGTCAACTGTTTCAAGTATGTTTCTAACCGCTGGTGCTGGCCTGGTCAGAGGGCATTCACCTTAAGTGACCAATCCTCAAACAAAAGCCGATTCTCAAATAAGCTGACTTTCCCATGAAGTAAGTGCATGTGAAGACTTCAGCCAGTCTCTCTAAATGCTGGTAAAGGGCTGGCCTCTCACTGGCATCACCAGGTAGGGGCCAGTGGTCCCCAGAACTTGCTGAGTGGCAAAAGGACACTTTTCTCAGAGTAAGGGACAACCTCGAATAGTCGAGACTAGGGAAACATTGCAGGACTGATTCAGGATACCCCGGGTAGCATAAGAACCCTCAACGCCATCCAGAATCTCCCATCACTGCAACTGTGCCCTGTGATAGCTGAAAAATAAAAGCCTCATTGGTCGTGGAAGGGTAGTGTAAGGCCAGGAAAGAGATGGCATCAGGCGGGGGCAGCGAGGGAACACAAGCTATGGTCTGTGATCTCTCCCTACAATTAGGAACAAAACAAAACACTGCCTCCACTCCACTTCATTTTCTTAATTCTTTGCTGCATTTACCACCACAGCTATTGCTGCCTTCTACCATTAGAGGGCAATAGTGTTTCTAAAATGAGGAGTTACTGCAGAGGCAAGAAATCACAGAATCAAGGAAACCAAGGAACGTCAGAGTGGGATGAGGTTTTAAATATCCACTGGCTTTCAAAACTTTTTAACTTGAAAATCAAAGTAAGAATTGCTTTCCTCATTATGACTTAGTTCATGCGTATATATCTGAAACATTTTTAGACACCACTTACCCTTGCTTTTGCAAGGAACTCTAATAGTTTATATTCTAAACTACTTCACATAAAAAAATTAAACAATTGGACCCTACTAAATTGATTTCATAACCACTAGTGGGCCCTTAGTTTGAAAAACCCTGATTAGCCCCAGCCTCTCACTTTACAAAGGCGTGCACCCTGACCCCTAGCATGGGGAGGGATCCCCACGAGCTGTACTTCTCTTACCCAGATGAATGGCAGACGCTGTGCAGCAAGTGAGCACTCAGCCTGACAATGAACGGAGTGGACAAACAGTGCAAACTTGAGTTTTGGGGATCTACCATTTTTTACTTCTTGCCAATGCTATGACCGCTCTCGTGATCGAAGCAGAAATTTCTTGTCACCACACTGAAAGCTCCATGCAGGCTGTGTCTGTGCTCCTCATTCAGGTAGCTGAGTGCTTTAAAACTGAATGAATGTCAAGGAGGCCTTCCCTAATGACTCTACCCCAAATCTGAATTAAGGCCACAAAATCTAGCCCAGTGCCTGGCATATGGTAAGTACTCAAGACTGGCCCTCAGATGTTATAATGGTAAGGAAGGATCTCTTTGAAATTCAGGAACATACTATTGCAAATAAAACAGTAATGGAAGAGTAGGAGAATTTTTACTTACTTGGTTTTGAGAGCTAGTTTGATCATTTTGTGAAAAGATGCCAAGTATTTTATTTTTTTTCCAAGCAGGTGACTAAATGCATGAAAGTGCAAAGCATTTGATTATTTTTATTTTTATTTTTACGGTCTTGGAAGGAAGGAAAAAAAATCCCTGGAATTGAAAACTGGTGTACTTTGGAAATCTGAGCTTGGTTTTCTGCAGGGATTCCTCTCCATGATAATGGGGAGCAGATCTCCAGGGACGCCCTCTTTGGACACTGGGAGGTGGCTACTCTCTGACCTTGATAGAAAGTTCTCAAGCTCTATTACCTCACTTCTCTGTTGGACTAGTAAAACTGAACCTTTTTGTCCCCGAAGACGGCAAGCATTGTTAAAAAAGTGACAAGAATAGGTCGATTTTCTCTGGGAACAATCTGATTCAATCATTAAATAAATTTAGCCATGCTGGGTGCAAGAATAAATCTTTCAAGAACCAAGGCTGAGCTTCCAAAAGGCCTTTCCTGCCGTGTCTGACACCAGGCCTAGGACACTCAAATGAAAATCCTACTGCCACACTTTAAAACTCCACTTATTTACACGCTACAGTCAATTCTGGATTCTTTGAGGCTATGTGTCTGCAGGCTTTGTGGAGTATTTTGGGGTTGCCAGAAGGAGCAACTTGGGGACAGACAATGTAGTTCTGCAATGTCTGTAATCTATTTGATGAAAGAAATGTAATTTCACACACACAAGAGGATACCTGCCTTGAAATCAGGGACCAAATAACGGATTGTAAACTTCTCATCCACTCAGCTCACAAAAAAAACTGAGCCCCGGGTTCACTCACTCCCACTGGATGAAAGCAGACGCCAGCATTGGAAGGTTCCTACCCGGGCCTACGTGTAAATTCCAACCATCTTATCCTGAAGCCCCTGCACGCGGCCAGCGATTAACAAGAGACACTCGTCTGCGGTACCGTGTGGGAACTTGTTTAGATTTTGGAAATCCTGCCCAAGACTTCGGCTGGAGCCACTGGTGGGTCGCGCCCACAGTAAGCAACCCTGTAGCAGCAAACTCTGGGTACTCTCACACAGGATTAAGTGTTGCCCTTTCCTCAACTTCCCCATGTATTTCTCTCCCAGGGTTGGGAGCTGTCAAGAGCGCTCCCCTGTGAAAAATCTACAGCTTCGTAACTGCCGGAAGGAACGAGCCAGCTTTCCACAGATTCTGCGCACCGATGCGTCCCTCCCACGCCCTGGACACCTCGGGGGCGCTGAGGCACCAGCCGGGATCTTCCCGGACTCGTGCGCTTCAGTGTCCCCGGCGGATCCGCCACTGGGCGGGCCCAGCAGTCACGGCCCAGCGAAGGCGCGGCCGCCCCGGCGCGTGCCCCGGCGCGTGGCTCCCGCACTCACCCACGCGCGGCCCTCCTGCACGGCGGCCAGCACTCGCAGCGCGCTGGGCGAGCCGGCGCGGAAGTTGAGGAAGTGCAGCGCGGCGCGCGCCGCCTGCTGCAGGAGCCCGCGTGAGAGCCCCGCGTCCTGCGGCCGCCCGGGGTCCTCGGGCCTCCAGGACCCGGCGGGCGCCGCCGCCGCCGCCCCCTGGAGGGCGAGCAACAGCAGCAGCGCGAGCAGCCGGGCGCCGGGGCGCTGGCCCGCCGGCAGGGGCGCGGGCGGCGGTTGCCGGCGGGGCTGCATGGACGCGGGCGGGCTGGCGCGGCGCTCGACGGACCCGGGCTCAGAGTGGGCGGCACCCGCGCCCGGGGAAATAAGGCCGTGGTGGGCCCCTCCCCTCCGCCCCCGGGATGGCCGGCTGGAGGGAGCCCGTGTCCCAGCTCGACCGCGCCCTCTCCGCGCTCCCCGCAGCCCTCAGGCCCCCTCCCCACCTCCCCGCTGCCGCGGCTAGGTGCGGGGACGCGGCGGCGCCTCCGTGGCGCGGGGCCGGGGCTGTCTGGCCCGGGGCGGGGGTGAGGGACGCGTGTGGGGAGCGGGGGAGGACAGTGGGGACGTCCCCCCCAGGGAGCGCGGCCCGACGGGTGACAGCCGCGCAGCACCCCCAGCCCTGCTTCGGGACTTGGCTTCTCCCCTGCGATTGCTACGATTTCGCAACCCTGGGGTTTTAGGGAAAAAACACTTGGATTCTCCAAGAATTAGGGCTGTGATTTCCCAGCAGTTGAAAGAGGGAACAGGTGGAGAAAGGGGCGAGCCGCAGGGGGCGTTGATGGCGGTCACTGTGGCACAAAGCCCGTGGAAGTGGGAGAGATCGCCCTCTGAAGGTGGCCGCCGGCAAGGAGCCGGGGATGCGGAGCGCGGGGCTGAGGCGGGCGAGAGCACCCACCCGCCGGCGCGGCTGGGACGTCAAGAGGACGAGTGGCCAGTAGGGCAGGGCGAGATAAGGCCCAAGAGGCCCACTGGACTTAGACCAAGCAGGCACTGATAGCCCTGGTGCGAGGCAGAGTTAAGGGCCGGGGTAGGAGGATGGAAGCCGGATTCCAGCAGGGGGAAGTGTGGATGGGCCTCAGGGAAGGGTGGAGATAGCCATTGTTTTTAAGCCACAGACAGGAGAGAAAGCCCAGGAGAACCAGGGGTCAGAGAGGAGAACTGCTAAGCTCTCCCAGTACCCATTTCTCCACCTTGGCTTTGTCCAGGGGTCCACCCTTGCCCAGCACCCATGGACCCCAGCCCCAAGTGGGGCTACAGGAAATCCTCTCTTCTTGTGGGTGGCTGGTTGGGGCCAGTCATTAACTGATTGTGGATGAGGTATGAGCAGAGCCCAGGGGATGGTGGATGGGGTACCCTCTCTGGAAACATCCTCCCTCCCCACACCACTTCTGGATGTTTTCCGTCCCTTGTTTTGTCTCTCTTGTCTTCTGCAGATACTCATGGAACACCTACTCTGCCAGGCCCTGGGGAATGTGGGAGAACAATGAGATAAACATCTGTGCCCTGCTGCAGCGCACCTTCTAGGAGATGGGGCCTAGACAATCAGTGAGGCCAAGGGAATGTGCCCTGTGTGGATGCAGTTACATGCTGTGGAGAAAAATTAAGCCAGAAAGGACATGGAGAGTGGGAGGTGGTGGTAATCTTAAGTGGTGCATTCAGGGCAGGCGTCACTGGGAAGGTGACATGTGAGTAAGGACCTGAAGGAGGTGAGGGAGCCAGGTGGACATGTACGGAAGAGCACTGTAGGCAGAGGGAACAGCAAGTGCAGAGGCCGGAGCAGGAGTCCACCTGGCATGTTTGAAGAAGAGCAAAAAGTCCAGCTGGAGGGAGAAGACAAGGGCTAGAGTGGAGTCCCTTGATAGGCTGTGGCCATGTCTGGATGTGCCACCTGTAAGTGCCTCTGTTTTCTGGCAGCCTGAGATGCAGCCCATTTCAAGAATGGTGGAGCAGAGAGAAGGTAGGACCCTGGGTTCCTGATGGCATTGTTGACCACCTGGATCAACTGATCCTTAAGCTTACTTCTTATTGTTTAACTTCACTGAAGCTGGAGTTTCTGTTTCTTGCTCTCAGAGGCAGCCCGACACACATAATCGTCTTCCAGAACCCAGTCGTCTCTCCCTCGCCTTAGTCTGTTTTGTGCTGCTATATCAGAATACCTGAGAGTGGGTAATATATAAAGAACAGATATTTATTTCTCGCAGTTCTGGACGTTGGAAGTCCAAGGTCAAGGCACCAGCAGGTTTGGTGTGTGTCAAGGGCTCAGTCTCTACTCCCAGGATGGCGCCTTGAATGGTGCATGCTCTGGAGAGGAGGAGCGCTGTGTCCTCATGTGCTGGAAGAGTGGAAGAGAGTGAGCCCACCCCCGAAAGTCCTCTTTGTAGCAGCATTAATCCATTCATGAGGGCAGAGCTTTCATGACCCGAACACCTCCGTTAGGCCTCGTGTCCCAACTATTGCATTGGGGATTAAGTTTCAACATGCGTTTTGGAGGGAACAAAAACATTCAAGCCACAGCACCTCCAAGTGTTATAGTAGTAGGCTTCTTGAGAATTTATGACCTTCAGGTTTTATAAAGATTAAAGTTTCCTTGTTTTACTTCAGTGTTTTGTCCTCTGTGGGTGTAATTAGATTGGTTTCAGCTGAAAGTAACAGAAAACCTCATTAACTGAACATGGACTATTCAGTGGTCTGGAGTGGCAGATCTCAGGGATAATTTGGTGACTCATTGATTTTTTTGAAAGATTCAGGCTCTCTCCGTCCTTCTACCCAGATACCTTCTGCTGGTTGGCTTTTTGTCCATGGACTTGTAGCTTCATGGCTGTGGAATAACTCCAAATATCACATCTTCACATGCTATAGCCAAAGGCAAGTAGCAGGAAGTAGGTTGTCAGGGTTGCAAAAGAGCTCTACATCATGAACTTATTTTTTGTTTGTTCTTGTTTTTCATCAGAAGTAGCTTTTCTAGAAGCTCCTGCCCATACCTCTCTCCCCACCAGACCTTCCTTTACATCTCATGGGCCAGAACTGGGTCACAATGGCAAACCCTAGCTGCAAGGGAGGCTGGAAAAGTATCTGTCATTTTTCAGCCTCTATTGTGGTGGTCTGGTCTATAAATCAGGATTAAGTTTAACTATGTGGAACAAAAACCCAAATGACATTGGCTTAAACAGGAGAGAACCTTAATTCTCACATAAAAGAAACTGGGGGCTTGGGATAGGCTGGTAGGCCATCTGTGGTGGTATTGGCAGGTCCATGAATTTGTTAGGGTTCCAGGCCATTTCCAGACCTCAGCTCCCACATCAGAGGTTACACTCCTTGCCCTCAGAGTCCAAGATGAGCACTAGCCATCAGCAGGTCCTCCTTTTTGTAAACTTCCTAGAAGTCCCACAGGGCACTTTTGCTTATACCTTATTGGTAAGAACTTAGTGTTATTCTTAGCAAAGGAGGCTGGGAAATGGAGTCTTTTTTCAGGGTGGCCATATGCCAGAATAAAAATCAGGATTTTGTTACTAAGGAAGAAGATTTTGTCTTACTGTGGGGTATCGTAGAAGAAGCCCATTCGACAAGGATTGTGTGCAAGTGATTTATATCGGAATTGCTCCCAGGAGAACCAGTAAGGACTCAGAAGGAGAGTAGCTATGCGAGGATCTCGGACAGAGTTATGTGGTGGGTGGTTCATTCTGATCCACAGGGGAACTCTGGACTGTAAATTATGCCTCAGAGATGTCCTGAAGGGGTCTGGGCTTCCACACCTCTATGTGTGTCAGTTATTGGCTAAGGGCCACCCTGGATGTTATAACCCAGGTACCTCAGGCTTTCTACAGGCAGATACAAAGAGGCATTAACATGAGAACCCCTCCCTCCCTCCCCAAGAACAGCTCCAGGAACCTCAGGGTGGAAGCAAAAGCATGCCATGTGGGCAGGGGCAGACTTGAGCAAAGGGACCCGGGGATCTCAGCAGAGCCCAGTGAGGTCCCTGCAGGGATAATGGAGAGTGGGAAGCCAGCAGCAATCTCTGTCACTGAGGCAAGGCAGAGGCGGGTGGGAAGGGCTCATGGTGGCCAAGAAGCGGTCTGTGTTCAGTTACTGCTTATGAGATGGTGAGACCATGAAAAATGACACACAAGAGGGATGATAGACACGCAGAAAAATGCTCAGGGAACTTTTCCAAAGGTAGTTATTTTTAATAGCGATAATTACAATCAGAGCAAATGGATGCTGATCAGGAACACACAGCATTTATTTTATAAACACAGATGTTCTGAAACATAGAATATTTCCTGCACTGAGAACTGTCCATGTTCTTCGTCCATTTATCTGTGGGGTTGTTGGATTTCTGGTTGATTTGTAGAAGCTCTTTCCATGCTAGAGAAGTCAGGCCTTGACCTTCCAGGTATATCACTAGTATTTTTTCTCTGTTCATATACATCTTTTGCATGTACATAGATTGTTCTTCCTTGCCAAACACTGTGTGTGGGGACGATACCACGTTCTCCAAAGGGCCTATCATCTTGGGTCACAGGCATCACCTCCCGCCGAGGTCACTGCTCCGTGGGGTTGTTGGAAGCCTGCGCCACACAGAAGAGGTGGAAACTCTCAGCCAGCTGGCTCTGGCCCCAGCGTCTGTGCAGAAGCAGTTGTATTCCCCACAAAGGTGCCCTAATAGGTCATAGTTCCTAGTTCCTCAGTCGTTGCTGGGGTTATCATGAGGATTTTTATCTAGAGGACTTGGTTTGTGTTTAAGAAACATAATGGTGTATAAAGCTAGAATGACTATTAATCATATGAAGAGATAGTATAGAGGGTGAGGAGTAAATTGATACGAACTGTTTGGTGGGCTATTTGCAATATCTATCAAAATTAGACATGCCCATACCCTTTGACCAGCAATCCCACCTTAGAGTTTGTAGTAACAATAGAGTCACACATGTACACAAAGAAGTATGTACAGGATGTTTATCTCTGCACGTGGCTTATAAACTCCTTTTGAGGGCAGAGACGCCAAATGTCTCATTCTTTGCTCTTCATTTCCTAGAACAGTGCCTGGCACACAATAGTCACCTTACAGATTTTTTGAAAGAATGAAGAGTATAGGGCTATAAAAATCTAAGTTCCATGGTTGAATAATTACAGTACCTCCATATAATGAGATATTGTGCAGTCATTAAGAAGGAGGTAGATCTAGGCATGTTGGTACTGAACCATCTCTAAGGTATAATGTTAACAGAAAGCAAAGTGTAGAATAGGGTGAGTAG